GCCCCGCGCGGGATGCCCAGTCCAGCCTGTGGGAACAGCCATGTCTTTTCCTAATTGAGCATCTCCCCTTCCCATCCTGGGGGTCCCGTCCCCCCCAGGCGGGGGGCGGTTGGGATTAGTTAATCCAGTATTTTGAAGAAAAGGCTGGGATTTACTTCAGTGACTCTGACTTAGTGCTGGTGAAGGTGATGGGAGGCAGAGCAAGCGGGGGCTGTTTGTGGAACCTACTGCTTAGCTGGTGGGATGGCTGGTGGGGCAAGTCCCTGGCTTTCAGCCCCTGTCCCCAGCGGAGGCCGGCACCGAGCTCCCCCCAGGCACACAGGAGGGGGGCCCACGAGCAGGGCCCTGGCTGCAAACAGGCGCATTGGGATAACCAGCCACTGATACCCCCAGTCCCGGGGGCACAACCCCATGGTGGCGGCACGGCCGTGGCCTGGGGGGGTGCTGGCTCACTGGCGGCAGTGGGAGGCTCTGGGGCAGAAGCCCCCGTCGCCTTTTAACCAGCCCAGGCTTTGCCAAGGCGGTGCCGTGCCCATCACGGCACCCTGTGCCGGCACCCACTGCTGCGTCCCTTGCCAGCGCCATGCCATGGCCACCCGGCTGGGATGACCACAGGCTGTGCAAAACCTAGCGCTTCTCGCTGGGAGCGTGCCGATGGGCTGAAAATGAGCTTTTCTATCTTAGCTGCTTTGGAGAGCGGAGCTGTGACCCTGCCGAAACATGGGGCCAAGCTCTTTCCAGTGGTGCCCAGCGACAGGACAAGGGGCAATGGGCACAAACTGAGGCACAGGAAGTTCCATCTGAACATGAGGAAGAACTTCTTCCCTCTGAGGGTGACGGAGCACTGGCCCAGGCTGCCCAGGGAGGCTGTGGAGTCTCCTTCTCTGGAGATATTCCAGACCCACCTGGGCAACGTCCTCTACAGCCTACTGTAGGTGACCCTGCTTCGGCAGGGGGGTTGGACTGGGTGACCCACAGAGGTCCCTTCCAACCCCTACTATTCTGTGACTCTGTGATCCGGACTCTGACATTTGAGAGCCAGAGGCTGCGTTACCAGAGCGGAGCCAGACCCCAGCAGGGCGGCGATGGCTCGGGGGATGATGCAGGACCTGTGCCACTCGGTGCCAGAGCAGCGGACGTGGCCACAGCGTGCACCAGGGTCTGCGTCTGCAGGTCCTCGCCAGTCTCAGGGCATCTGGGCAAGGAGGCATCCCTGGCGCTCATGGAGAAAAGGGGCTGACAGCGGCATCGGCACCGGCTGGGGGCAGATATGTCCCATGTGATGGTGCCTACAGGCATGCAGGACACACTTTGTTTGCTGGGAACACCAGGCAATTTTGGTTTTTTCCTCCTTTCCAGCAGCCTCTCTGTTAAGCCCTTTCCGCGTGCCCGCCAGGCCTCTGAAGTTTAAGATCTCATTAAAGCCTGGCTTTCCCTCAGTGATGTGACCGTCCTTGACGGCTTGCCTTCCCCAGGGGCAGGCGTTGGTTAAGGGTTTATAATTAGCCAATTATTAGGTGGCTGAAGCTGGAAAGGTGCTTCCTTCCTCTGCCACCCGGCCGTGCCCACGGGGTCACTGGCTCCTGCCGATGCCCCGGGCTTTTCCGTGCTGGTGCTTCCCAGGGCAGAGCCCGGCACGACTCAAGGCTTTGTTTAATGGCAAGGTTTTTGGAGGATCTTCCCTGGGAGTAAGCACGGGGCCAGCGCAGCCTGCTGCAAAGGGGCAGCTGAAGCCCTTGAGCCATGAACAGGGTGCATTGGGGACCTGCTGCACCCAGGGGTGCTCCCAACCCCCGGCAGAGATGCTGAGGGATGGCAGAGGGGTCCTCAACTCCTCTGCCTATCCTATGGGAGCCCCCAGCACCCACCAAACCGCAGCTGGGACTGTTGCAGAGAGCCTGTGCTCCATTTTCCAGCTTTTCCCCAGTGCTGGGGAAGCTTTTCTGCAGGTTTAAATATAATTTTTTTTTCCATCTCCTGCTCTTGCCCAAAGTCAGAGCCAGGAAGAGCTCTGGACAGCCCCATTCTCTCCCAGTCGTGCTGCTGCAGGCAGCTCCAAAGGCACTTTGCTCTTGGGGTTGTTTTTTTTTTCACATGGCTGTGTCCTTCCCTGGAGAGCTGCCTATAAATTATGTACGTGGAAAATGGGACCAGAAAGCAGCAGGCATCAATAATTGATGGTCGACGTTTCCTAACAGGC